CAAGGAATTAAAGTTCTCTGGCAAATTACAGTTCTACTGAAATTTCTTTGCTGATGAAAATAATAAATAACAGTCAAATAAAATAATTTTCATTCTCAAGATGTCAGTTTCTCCTTTCTGTGCATACAAAATTTTAGGAATTCATCTGGATTGAAAGCAAGAGGCTATGTGGAGATCCCTCCACATCTGCTTTCACTCCTTTGGTAAGTGGCTTTGTACTGGAGTGAGACATGCATGAGAATCACTAACAGTGTCTCTTAAAATGCAGAGTCCTGGGTCCTGAACCAGACTGACTGCATCAGCATAGGGGACAGGCAGGTTTCTGTTCTGTGAAAACCTACTTCAAGGAACTGCGAAGTACACTTGTGGTTCAGGACCATGATTTACTCATTACCTCCTAGGGGTAGAGCAGAGGCTAAAAATATCAGAGTAGAGATTTTTTTCCTCCAGTTAATGAGGCACATTCCTGAACGTTCCCCAGTGGTCATTGTTTTATAGCAAGTTCAAACTAGATATTCAACCAGTACCTGCCATATAATCAGAAGAAAGTTTACTAAAGAACTTCAACTAAAAGGCAGGAATGAATAGTGAGAGAATTCAGTGTATAATAGTTGTGAATGTGTCAGGACCACAATCTCAATGTCAGGTACATTCTCCTAGAGCCCAGTCTTAGCCTGTTCTACAGATGAGAAAACTGAGGGGGAGATTACAATTAAGAAACAGGTCCCAGGTCCCAGGGACAGTGTGTGGTTGGCTGGGCCATCTGTCTACCTCAGTTTCTCCTCATCATCACTCACTACAGTAGAGAGGGTTTCCCCCACTTGAACAATGGGGAAATAGAGAGGTTAACAGCCTGTCTCAAAGTCACACAGCTCCTAAATTAGTAGAGCTAATATTCCTATGGAATGTCTGACTGATGCCAAAGTACATTAACTACCGGATTTCGTGAAAAACAAAAATGTCCTTTATGTTCATGAATTGAAAAACCACCAAATCTCCATGTGGAAAACCTGTTGCTGGACCAGAGAAACTCTGCAATGAATGGAAGAGTTGTTTCTTGTTGTTTAACTTTAAAACCACATTTATTTAAAGAATTCCTTTTGTTCTTCCCTAAGCAATCTGAAAAGTAACTGCTTGCATATCAACAGTTATTGAGACACTTCCCACTGCGTTAATACCATGAAATTAAATATCTAAGTAGAGGATTTAAGCATTATAAACGCAGAAGAGAGTAAGCAAAACACATTCTATAAATAGTTCTTATGAGATTCTAGATTACCTACCAGCCTTAAATCTCTCTAATCTGCCTAAAACACCCTCCTACCCAAAGCTGCAATAGCATTTGCTCTAAAAAGTACCTCCCATTAAACTTACTAAACAGTGACCCTTTTAAAGGGCTGAACATTGTCTTAATGATTTGGCCAGCTGGAATGACATTTTAGAATATGATTTGGGAACTAAATTAGTGGGAAGTCTGGTCTTTGCCAGTGATCCCCGGAATACGAGAGATTCTCGACAGCAATCCCAGGAAACCCAGACCCCTGGTGCACAGTGACATAAAAGTACACATTGCCTGCTACTTCCAGTCAGTGAGGGGAGAAACTTGAAGCAGAGATTTTTTGCTCTAGCAAGCCAAGTCCCATTATCATCTCCATTCTTCTCCCCACACCACCCAAACAAATATGCAGTAAACAATGACAAAATGCAGACCCTTAAGAAGCTTTACTTCTCAAGGGACTAAAGAAACATCATAATACAGAACAAAAACACACAAGCATGAAGAATGCCTTACGTCAATGAAAGCAACAGGATGGCGAGTAAAGGGTTTCAGATTGGAGGAGGTCAAAGGTTGATAATACATGATATATGGCTGTACATGTATGTGGTGATATATGGCTGCCAGCAGAAAAAAGAGATTGTTTCTCAAGTCTGCAGGCCATCCAAAGTGCTGCAGTGATCACCTGGCGGATAAAAGGGCTCTACCATTTTTAAACTCAAAGGGAGGGTAATTCATCGATCAAGAAAGAAGAGGCCACTTTTTTACTTCAATATTTTCTTTGCCTGCTAAAAATGCCTTAACCAGTAAGGTAGGCTACCCACGTCCTTTGCAAAGCAAAATTTAAAGCCCCTGAAACAAAAAAAAAAACCTGAAGTGGCATCCTGTTCAGGAGGCTAACTCAGTGGCGTGCCTTCCCCAACAATTAAGACAGTGGCTGCAAGGGAAGAGATCACCAAGGGCTTATTGTTATTACCACGCAGGGCGGGACAGAAATGCCTCAGAACCCAGGCGTCAGGCGGAATACCGAGAGTCAGGCACGACAACAACTGCCGTGCTTCCCATGACAGGCTGTCCAGTTCTTTCCTGAAATGTGTGACAGGGTGGATTTCAAAAAATGAAGTTCTGTCTTGAATTTAGTTTTCAGAACCCAACAGCTGAGTACTGAAGATGCTACTACGCTGCCTGGAGGGGCTGGCTCATATGAGACTAGCTTCCGGGGCTCAAGGTTATAGTCATCACCGCCAGCTATTTTATCACCATAAAACAGTGAGACTAGGTAAATATCCAAACCCTAAAAAGAACCCCATGGTGTGTTCGTTAACAATGAAGATTCCGAAACCTCTAACCACAAAGATGCTCAATCAGCAGATTTGAAAGAACTGAGAACCAATCCTTTTTTAGACTAACATCAAAATTACTTTTCATGTAAGTAGCATAAGGATCACACTGGGAAGAACATAGACTATATTTATAGACATAGTCTCAAAGGACAGTTTTCAAAACTTCACCATCCACTGAGGTTTTATTATATATATATATATATATCTGTGTGTGTGTGTGTTTATATATGGTTGTTCCCTTTGGCCATTTTATAATCTAGAGAGGATTTGAGATGGCCTCGCTAATTCATATTAGGGAAATCCTGTGATCCTGTGATCAGGTTGGTAACAATTAAAAGATGTCTAAAACAATATAATCTGCTGGTTCAGAAAAAAAAAAAGAAAATTTTTCGGAAAAAATATCAATTTATGCTAAACAATAAGTGGTGATGATTACCACATTCACAATTCATGCATGAGTACTGTATAACCAAGAATTACTCCAATGACCTCACCACTGAAGCTAACACCACCATTCACAATGTTGGCCAGATGACTGCATATTGACAAGCACTATTAGAATCAGAGCCTACAGCCATGGGGCTCAGCCCTGCTAGACTGGGTGCTTGTTGGATTTTTTTAATTGTTTTATTCTATTACTATTTTTAGCTGAGATAAAATTCAACTACCACAAATTCGCCATTTTTAAGTGTGTAATTCAGTGGTTTTTAGAATATTCATAATGTTGTACAAACAACCCCACTAATTCCACAGCTTCACCCCAAAAAGGAAACCCTCACCCATTCCTTAGCAGTCACTCCCCATTTCCACCTTCCCCCAGCCCCTGGCAATCACTTTGTGTCTCTATTCAACACCTGATTTTACAGGAAGTATTTTTAACGTCCCACTCAGAATTCCAAAGTGAAATTTTGAGCTTATATCCTATTCGTTTATATTCATATAAATTTGGGGTATGCTTCATATGTGCATATTATCAATCTGTGCATCCCACTTCATATGGCTTGTGCATTCTCACGTTACTAACCATACCTCTACGGAGTTACTTGTGAAGGCAGAAGGAATTCCATCACATGCATATTGCATAAGTCATCCAACTAATCTGGTATTACTGGAATTTATATTTGAATACTGAGTTTCGTTAAAAAAAAAAAAAAAACTAGTTACCAGGTTTAAACATTTGTGTTTTGTGTCTCAGGAAATAATTTCAAAAAGAAGCTACTTACATCATAATCTTTTTTTAGCATCGGCGTATTTAGAAGCCTGGCATGGGGGTAGACAATGGAGTGGAGGAAATCTGTCAGTCCCTTCTGTCCCTATCACAGACTGTGTCTTCTGTAGTGATCAGAAGACTAGCTCTTGTTTATCAAAAAGAATTTGGTGGCAGTCCCTACAGGTCATTCACTCCTCAAAAGTACTTCCCAGAGATGCTATGTTAAAAGTCCCACTTTTACTAAACATTAAAGCTATATGCAAAATAGTATCGAAAGAGGAGTATGTTTATTTGGCATTGTTTGGTGCTAAACATTACCTTATCCATTCACAACCAGTCTCAAAGCCATAAAACTTTATTTCGCAAAGTCCATTAGCACCCCAGTTTGACTGACTTCTGATTTCTAGAACTGACAAAATAGCTTTTTCTATAATTGGGGCCACAGGACCTGCCTGCAAAGGAATTTGCATTTGTATGAAGTGGGTGGAAACCCAGTTTCAGAATCAGCCAGGACGACTTCATTCTTTCATTTTTACTTTAACTAGAGAAGCAGAGACTATTCCAATAAATACTCCTTTCTTCTTTTAGCACACTTCACCATGCATCTCTGAGCCCCACTGACGCCGTTAGGTGAGAACTGTGGTATTAAGTACAAAGGGAGGAAAGGAATAGGTGTGTGGGTAGAGAGGAGAACAGATCAGAGCACAGGCAAGTGAAGGCAGAAATGTGGGGCTACACAGCCCTTAGCCTGTCACTCAAGAAGGATGAAGCAAAATATACGATGCAAAGAACTGGAAGGCGTGTCCAAGACATCCAGGCTGAAAAGAGAACTCACAAATCCACACACGGCCTATGTGCTGTTTTCTCCTCTCTACTTCACAGGGACTCCTCTGACTTCATTTTCTGCTCTAGGACGCCTTGATTTATTTTCTGTTTTAACATTGGCACAATAATAATTTTACTACAAAAGGTAAATGTCTTGTAAACTAATGGGAAACATATTGGTTAGCACAGTTTATAATGTCAGGATTTATGGCTCGAACACCGAGGGTCTCTCTGACCTCGAAGATAACATAATGAAACAGCAATGTGCTGCAAATGACTCAGTGTGATTTTTATTAGTTCTCATAATTGCCCCTTATTAATTTGAATGCACATAATAAGCACTCACCTTCACAGTCTGTCCGGCTTCGGGGCCATCCTAGAAGTAGAGAACAAAAAAAACCAGAATTGATAAAGATGGTATCTCCTGCATATTCAGAAATCTCTTCCATTAATAATTTAGATCCAATTTCGCTGTGTGTTGATTTATAGTATTCTCATGGGAACCGTTCCCTTCAAATGTGGGATACCAGACAGTTCTCCATGTCTGCGTGAGAGTAGGTGAAAAGTTATGTATAAAAATGATATAAATTACCCAGTAAGCCAACCCCCTTGTTACTTTCATACTCTTTGCTCTTGACCTCGGCTCTAAGTTTATTAAGGGCAGGCTGAAAACATTTGGGGAGGTGAAGTATCATGTCTTCTGGTTATCTTTAAATCAGATGTAGTTTAATTCACATCCAATTACTTTAAGTCTCTACCCAGGAAATCTGCCTCAAACATAATTCCTTAAGCAAGAACGTGGACTCTCTCCTCTGTGAAGACTCCAGCAGTTCTGACCCTGAGGGAGAAAGGTGGGGGAGCTCAGTGCAGCTGGTCCTTTTCCCATCCCGGCTCCTTTTCTCCTTTCTGAAGACCAAGTGAACCATTTGTTTAGTTGTAAATGAGTAAAAGCTCACCCAGTCACCAGCCACAATACAAAACAAAACAGAACCAGGCGCTGATCCAGTTTAGGGTAGCAGAACAGGCAATACCTCCACGATCAGAAATTCCAAGATTGATTTGGAACTTTGCAGCTGGAGGCAAGTCTTTCTACCTCTACGACTGAGACTAATGGGGTAAGAACGCTTGCCCTGCTGTGCAGCCAGGATTAGGCCGTACTGGGTCATCAGTGGTTTCCAAACTTGGAGTCACAACCCATCATGAGTCATGAAGTCAACTGAATGAGTTGTGAGCGGCGCTAAACCCAAAGGAAATTGGATAACAAAACTGTGAGAGAGCATGGAATGGCTAAATACTGTTTTTGAAACTTTTGTTTCTTATATTTGTTTATGGGAGGCACATACAAGATTGGGAAATAAATCTATATCTTACTGTGGGTTAAAGTTTTAAAAAGTTTGAAAACATTGTGTATGAAAATCATGCAAGTGCTATGCCAGGTCAGTTCCTCTATTTACATAATTAACGTTCTAGACGCTCATGTTAGATAACCAGCGCTGGCCATTTTCTATGAATGTGAATTTTCTTCTAGTATTTCATTAAACACGGACAGATGTCTTCACCCACTTGCCTTCATTTGGTCTCTCTAGAAACACAATTTTCAGCATACGCTTGGTAAACCTACCCTGAGCTTAACTACCTTCTTAGAGATGACTCCAGTGGTTTGACATACAACACACACAGGCATGGTCTTATGGGGCAGTGTAGATACTCTCAACACAGCCATGGTTTTCTAAGAAGATGAGCGTTTTCTGTCACAGTCTTTTTTAAGGTCTATGTGGAAAGCTGAGGAGGTCAAAGCAAGGATGGGAAATAGTTTAACTAAAGCACCAAGGTCTCACCTTATGGAAGAATCCATTTCTTCCCCAAGGGTTACTGCAGAGTCCTTTCAAGGTCACACAGGACTTTAATTATGTATTGATACCCCCAGTTCTTTCCATGGGGGATCTGAAAGGGCTCATGGCATGTCACCACTGATCTGCTCAATTCCTACAGAGGCTGCTGCACCAGGGACCTCCTCCTCCCACACTGACAAGTGTTGACTTGCTCTGCCTAAATATCCCCAGGGATTGAGAGTCTCATTTCTTTTTTCTTTTTTCTTTTTTTTCTTTTTTTTTGAGTCTCATTTCTTTTCCTGGGAAACAACATATCCAATCCATACAGCTTCATAAAAATCCATAATCAATCACTGAGGCTTGAATTAAAGAGAAAAGGTCAGTCCTCTGAAGGCAAGGCTCCACCTAAGTTGCATCTCTACTCGCCTGGAAGTAGAGCAGGGCTAAGTCCATGCAGCAAACAAAACACACTTACAATGGAATGACAATGACTTGTCCAGCGCCAGCTCCAGTGAAAGATATGAGATGTCCTAACGCACATTAAATTATGTGTCTGCAGCTCTCACCTACTTTGTGAGCAACACTGAAGACTGTGCTTCAAAAGTATTCCACAGTCCAGCTTGGGGCCAATGACATTAACAATGTCATTTTCTGCTACTATATGAGACATGAGCAACCACAGCTGCCTTCCCAGTGAGATGTCCCTTTAAGAGGGAGAGAGCCCAATGCTAGGACTGAAAAAGGAATAAAAATAATTCCTGAGCTATCTGTACACTCACCTGCATGGACAAGGTGAGAGAAGTCCCCTGGAAATGCTTCTCCACCACTGTCCCGACCCTCTGGGTGGCCTGAAACAAATCGGCCACTTCGTCAGGACGCAGATCTCGGAAGCGCTCCACTGGCCGAAGGGGACACACGAGGACATCTGCAGTGAGGTCTGTTAAGGCTTGTGTGCTTGGGGTAGTATTTTTACCAAGAACTTTATACCCACAGTATGGAATTCCCTTGTCCCAACTTTGGAAACTCTTGAAGACTAAGGAATAAAAGAACAATTATTTACCAACCACCAAATTCCAAGAAGTTCCAAGAGCAGACTAACACGGTTCAAAGGGTGCTTGTGCAAACACGATTTCCCCTAGGCTTTGTAGGAGAAGCTGTGGTGCACTGAGGAAATTCTTGTAAGAGAAAAGGAGAAGAGGATTAAGAGAGACTCAAGTGCTGACAAAACGATTACGCCGAGGCAAGATCTATTCTTGACCATTACCTTCTGACCCCTATTCTAAAGCCTCTGTCTTCTCAAGCAGTCAAAAATTCTGGGTTGAAAAAGCAACCAGAATATCCAGTTGGTTTCTCCACACACAGCACTGTGATTAAAATTGTCATTTCAATTTCTCTTTAGAGAAAGATATAATGCAAATACAATAGTTGTCTTTTTTATTTTATTTTGAAAATGAGTATAGTCATCCTGACAATATACAGTGAACTGTATTTATGACCAAGAGATGTGCCAGGGGGTTAAACATTTTATGACAAATGTCCCTTAAACTGATTATCAAGAATTCAAGAAAGCAGTTGAAGGAAAATCACTCACTTAAGAAAAGGGCTGCGTGTCCTCTTATGCAAACACACCATCTTGATGTATTTTGTAAGTTAGACAGACCAACATATTTACATTATTGCTCTGAACAAACAACAAGGTCTAGAGTAAAAGGCTGTATATTTATTTGATCACTGGTTGGTAGCAAATTAATATTCAAAGTTACACCATCAATAACATTTCAGTTCCTTTTGTATTTGAGATCACATATGTGTTGGTATATACATATATGTACATACAAATATGCATACATATGTATACACACATAAGTTAGAGTAATTTTTGTTAGTTTTCTGGTACCAACAGAGGGACAAAAAAGCACTCTGGCATTCTTTTCTATTCCTTTCTTTCTTTTTTTTTCTCCTTTTTCATTGTTATCTTAAAACAGCATGCTTCTACCTGGAGCTAAGCAGCTCAGAGGCATAATAAAACCATAATTCTGCAATTGCCAGTCTCACCAGAGTATCAAGCATTTTAGCCCATCATACCATTGGTGGGACTCCGGCCCCAAGGGAAATGAGCCGTGCTCACCTGGGCGGGCCTGGTTTCCACCAGAGAAGGGGGAAAAAAGAGGGAAAACTGATTTTGTTCATAATTAGGAAATGCCTGTCAGCAGTAAACTAGGAAAAGGAACATTTGTTTAATCTGAGTTCATTTTTCAAGAGAGGAGAAGGGAAGCCTTTATCTATAGGGAGTCTGATACTTTAAAAGATAATTACCCACCTTCAGCAGGGTTGTTTTATTATCATGGGTCAATGAGCCTTTTAGAAATGAAGAATTTCCTTTCATTTCCTTTTAGCGGACTGCCAGCCTTCACTCCCACTGAGTTGCCTTTTCTTTGTTAAAAGAGACGTTTCTCCATCTTCCTCCTCCCCGCTTTGGTTTACACCACCCCCAGGCCCTGACTTCATCAAGCCACAGCAAGAGGGTAACTTTGCAAGCTTCCAACAATATCCATAATTGCTGTGGTAGGCTAATTCCCTCAGTGCGGAAGGAACAACATTGTATTTCGACAATTCGTTACTGTGAAAACTGTTGGAATGAGCTGGACAATCTCTGAGTCTAATGTAACTTTAGCAATAACAATGACATCTGAGGGATTTTTTTCCAACGCCGTAAAAAAATCTTGTATTATTACCTCTCCAGTTCACTTGTCTGATGAGAATAACTGGCTTGACCCAATGTTTAATGAATCAAAATGTTAATGGAATTGAATCAGAATGGCTGATTCTGTCAGATGTCTTATCTAGCATACACTCACCTGCAGGGTCTTGTATGTCTCATACATTTATTACTTTAATTGAACATTAATAATAGTAATACAATGGGTCACAAAACAGTTAAGCAGGCTACGTAGATTCTCATTTGAATGACTATTTCTCATCAGCCCATTTAGACAACATTGTCCTGACATATATATCCCCTACAATCTTGCCCTTTGTTAAGAAAACATCTGCATAAATAAATACACATTTCTACGCAATTAAGATAAAACAGAGATAGCTTTTAAGGGTGCTTATTACCTAGGCAGGTACTTCTGCGGGGTCACGTATTTGTTTCATTGGGACCCAGCAGATGGCTAAACAGGTGTCTCCACCTGGAAGCAGACCCACAAAGCAGCTCCACGGGACTCTACAGCAGGTAGATGGGTCTGGAGTTACACAGGATGGGGCTCTGGAGCTTCTGGAGGCTGTGTGAGGACCAGAGCTGGCCAGCAGCACACCCACTAGCCAACGTTCTCTCCAGATCATCCCAGGCACTTCATGGGCATCAGAAAGTCGGGACCAGCCATCCTCCCTCCTTTAAAACCAGAGCAGAAAACAGCCTCTGCCTTCACCTCACCCAGGCCCCATCCTGACCGCTGCCTCCTGGACCTCCTCTTTCTCCACCCCTCTTTTACAAACTGTACATCTCCCACACTTGCCCTCTTTCTGTTCCTCAAACACATCCTTCCAACCGTGGCCTTTGTCCGGGTTGGTCTGCCTAACATTCAATAGCCCATAATCTCCACAAGGTAGCCTCTTTCTTATCACTCAGATTCTAATTTCTATGCCACCCTCTCAAAGGAGCACCCCACGACCACCCAGTTCAAACAGCTTCCCAGTCACTCCCTCTGAAATCACACTGTTTCAACCTTTCCGCTGCTCTGACCCCAGCTGGTAGATTCTCTGGTTGGTCAATACACACCCGAGTGAGAAGGCAAACTCTAAAAGAGCAAAGACTTTGTCTCTGTCCTCATTTCCCCCAAGAACACCACCGACACTTACGTACTGCTGGAATGAGTGGGCGCATCATAAGCCGGGCCCTCTTACCAGCCACCTCTGAGTACTGAGACCCTAAGAAATGGAGACCACATTCGTTTACTTTTTACTCATCTAGACAAGATGGAGATGGTCTGCAAGATTTTTCTTTTCATTTCAAAGAGGTTTATCCTTAATATCCATCATAGAATGAATGTGGAATATGAGCCGGAAAAACAAACTCCTTTTTAAGGTAAACTAATTTTCATATGAGCCCAAAGGAAATATAATCATGAAGGCAAAATGCCTTTTTTAAAACCCTTAGAAAGAAATGGTTTCTAGGTTACTCAGAGTCTCAGATAAACTATAGCTCTATGAATTCTATTTTATATTACGACAAGGAAATGTGATTCGTTTGTTCATTCGGTGGACACTGAGGACCAGTTACATGGGGACACTGTGCTAGGCTCTGGGAAGAGCAAAGGAGAGTAAGAGGCTGCTTTGTACTTGCAGTCCAGGAGGCGAGCATTGAATCAGGTGACCGCAGTACTATGGGAGGGACAGACGTAAGCACCGAGGGCGACAGAAGGAAAGCAGACACCCCCAGCACAGTGGGGACCTGGGACACTTTAGCAAGGAGAGGCTGCCCTGGTAACCGTTGGTCCCTGCTGAGTGAGATGAGTATCCCATGGCTAGCAGAAAATATCAGCATCAGCAGGTTTTCATAAAGCATTTAAAGCAGGTCAACGAACTTTTTGTGCAAAAGGCCAGACGGTAAATATTTTAGGTTTACTGGGCCATATGCCTAAGCTGACATATCCATAGAATACAATAATAGGTATGGCTGTATTCTAATAAACCTTAATTTACGTAAGAAGGAGGCCAGCCATATTTGTCTCCTTGGTCTTCGAGTGTCAATCCCCCATTTAGAGGAATAACATCAGAAACAGGTAAGTAAAAGCAACCAGAAGTATTTGGGGGCCCCTTCCTCTTTTCCAAAGGACTATCATTCTATCTTAACAAAGATGATTATGGTATCTTAACATTTTTTCACTTGCTAAAAAAAGTACCTGGGTGTGATAGAGAATTTTCATGACCGTCCGTAGCCCTTCTGATGTTTTTAAAGACTAATTACAACCAGAAAATGGGTTACAGAAATGCATCCTCTGGATGACTCATGAGTATGACTCCCCAGGGCAGCTAAAGGGGTTTCTGCCATCTCTAATTGGAAAAGCAAAGCATGTGCTCTTCAGACACATGAGAGCAACAAAACAGTGTGCTCTTCACGAATTCATCTGAGAATAAAAGCATTTTCTCAAAACAAGTACATAACCTTGGAAGAAAACACCGTACTGCTTGAAGATGGCGGGTATCATGTGCTACATGTTTCTCATAGACAAACAACTCACGGAAAGCAAATTCATTTTAAAGAAGAGCAGACAGCTCTTGTAATTCTACTGCAGCTATTTGTATGTCAATTGTTTTAAGGTAACACACACAGACGCAGTATGAATTAATTTGGAGACTCTTAGACTGTGTTAGTGGGCAAATCCCGTATTGTATATAGGCTGTCAGACACACTTTCTCCTGGGTCCTCTTTGCTTGGGATTAGCACCTCTGAAGAGACTTTTCAGTCAATACACATGATGATGCTCAAGAAATTGATCTACTCAACTAAATTTAGTATGTGTTTATCCAGTACTCATCATGTATGAAAACCTGGGAAAGAAATTATCCAATAGCTTCTGGTCTTGCCCTATAATCTAAGTAGAGACATCTATTTAGTAATAGCAGGGTTTTTTTTGTAAAAGTAGAGAATGGCAATAACGACAATTTAGTTCCTATGATCAACAAAAAGATTCCTCATGGTCAAGGGCAGTCCAAGACTTCTTAGTGCCGACGAGACTTCAAATGGATTTCACTGACTTGAGAGTCATTCAGCCAGGGTTGGTGCAATCTATGCATTCATCCATCCCACAACTGGGCCTCCTTTTAGTCTGGGGTTTGTGCTAGAATTTAGGATGCCAGGATGAATATGAGAGACTAACTGACCTTGAAGGGTTTACACCCTTATGTCCTAAACCACTG